CCCGTAGGGCCCTTGAGCACCAGGCTAACTACTTTCTGAGAAAAGCTTGATGCCAAAACTGACTAACTACCTACCGCCTTCCAGGGTCCGGATACAGAAACAGCACGTAAGCATTGCGAAGTATGACGGGCACATCACTACGAGGAACAGGCGAAGCAGCAACACCGTCATCAGTCCACCACATCCGGCCTGAAGGCTCAAGCAAAACTGTACGGTAGTGTCCGCTGCTTGGGGTTTCTCCTAGATGAACTATAGCTGCTCCTAAGCGAAAGCTACGCTCACTCACTGTACCTTCTACCCAGCAGGGGAGGTAGACACTCCGTGGCAGTGCAACTGCCGTAAAGTCTTTGCTCACTGTGCGTCCTGACGTCCTGAAGCGATTCAGCTGTATCGCTACGCAAGCTACTTCGGCAGTTAGGGTAGGGCTGCCCAGAGAATGGTGCCACGCATGGATGACACTTTGCAGGGGGCAAACACCACGGGCAGTAGGCAGGTCCGAAAGTATCCTGTTTAAGAACAGCGGGCACACACCCCCACTATCCATCAAGGAACCATCTGTTAGAACCGCCCAAGTGCCTTGAAACCACCTAAGCTGACATTCCTGATGAAAATGTCCTAGAAAATCCGCCGCGTCATGCTGTCTTCCACAGTGAGGCCACCGATTCATGTACCTGCGCCATGGTGTGCGCGACCAGATATGTGTAGGGCCCTCCTGAAGCGTTAGGGCACTCAGATCTCTGCAGAGGGAGTCTTTTACCCAGACCTGAGACGGGGCATGAATTTCTGAGACCCACATACATGCCAGGATGACTGTGTTCATGTAACACTCGTTGTCACGGTTCCTCAGAGCTAGTCTGCAGATGTGCTGAAAAGTTGCCGGCGTCTCAGCTCCTGCGCGATGGTCTGTGCTAGGGCCGATCGCTGGCGCCGTTCCCTGCGAAGGGTAGTCGCCACTAGCTGGAGCGATGCATTGCCCGATAGGGACTCCATGATTGACCAGAAGCGGAACGCCTTCGGTTCCCGCAGGCCCACAGTTAGGCTGAACGTAACTGTTGGGCCCGTCATGTGTTCTGCTAGGGTCCTGGTCGGGTGAAAATTGATGAGGACCCCGTCCACAATGCTGAGCACTATGGACTCGTCTAGGAGGGAGAGAACCTCCTGCATGCTCAACGGAGCAATGCTGGGTACCTCGCGTAGGGCCTGTGCCTCCTTGTTCCACTGGACAAACTTGAAGTGGCCCGTGTCGGTCAGGATTCCCCTGCGGACAGCCTCCTGCATCTTGTCCTGATCTGTCTGCAGCTCGTGAACCCGCTTGCGCATCTCGTTGGCCCATGTTTGGTACAAGATGACCCTCATTGGCTGCTGTAGACTCGCTGGCTCCTCGGCCTTCATGCGATGCCATTCGGTGCCAATCTGATGAAGTAGTGGTAGCGTCGTAAGTGGTGGAGCTGTGCCTAGAAACATGATCCATCCGGTGGACGTCTGCATCCCGTTCCAAAAGTTGTCGTGCCGGATGAGCAACTGGGCCATGTGCTCCACCAGGCTGTCGTTTCCAGAAGGTCTGGAGCGTAGGTTGCCGGAGCGGCCTGTCTGTGCATTGCTCGGTTGTCCCTGGAACTGAGGCCTGGTGCGTCCTCGTTGGGTCTGCTGCTGGCTCTCCGTTGAGGTCTCGTGTTGTTGGCCCTTGCCCTGGTCCGTACCCTTGCCGTTGGTTTTGGGGTACTTGGGCTGCGAGGGGAACTGGCTGGGGCGGGGCTGCTGCTGAGTCCCTGAGTGTCTCGGGGGGGTTTGAACCTCCATGGTAGACGTCGGAGTGAGAGCTGGCATGGCGGACGACGGACCCTGCGCTGGTCCAAAGAAGTTCTGACCCTGGAGAGCCATGGTTTGAATGTGCTGTAGCTCCGCTGCCGCTTCCATGAGCTCGTCTCGAGAAACCCCCTCCAGGTCCATCCTGCAGAGCTTGCTGGTTAGATGGCAGCCATAATGCAGTGAGAAACTTCGCTAGGAGTATTACGGGACATTCCGCAGCATGCTTGGTCTGATGACACTTGAAGGCCTTTCCACAGTAGCGGCAGGGGGAGCACAGGACGAGTTGTCTCCTCTGGCTTTGAGCTGAGCTGCGGGATTGCTCCAGCGCTGAAGTCGCCCAAGGATGGAAGGCTTTTACATGCTGAGTAATTCCACGAAAACGGATCAACCACTGGTTGCAGATGGGGCAGTATTGGCTCAATTGGGGTCCCCGAGCTTTCAGGCGGATACTTACTTTCTCCCATCCCTCATGCACACACTCTGAGATTTGACTGTCCCAGTACACAGCTGGGCGAGTTTCTGTTGGCTCAGGAGGCTGTAGTTCATTGCCATCCGGGTAGAGTGCACTGCACGACTTGGTGAAGATATGCACTTTTAAGTCGTCCCACGAATTGCAGGACCGATGGCAGTGCCTACATATGCACAGCCCCTGCGAGGAGTGTAGCCACACGAACCTTGTTTGCGGATCCGCTCCCTGCAATTCAGTGGGCAGTGCAATCTGCATGGAGGCATCCTCCGCATGGGCCTGGACCTGGCGCCTATGTCGAGGTTTTTCTGGATCCGCTTGTAGTGGCTTGTTCTCCGGAGATGCTACCGCAGTCACGGTCTTCTGATCCTCCTCAGTTATCTCGCTGGTCGGAGGTGCCACTGTGTGCACAGCCCTCTCGTGCACCCTAAGTGCTCCTAGAGAACCGAAGGTCCGCTGACAGTAGCTGCACCTCAGCTCCCTTGGCGCATAAGCTCTTCTATCTTCCTCCAGGTCCTGTAATTGGTGCCCATCAAAACCTGTGTGGGGGTCTGCATCACGTTCAGCGGAGGAGTATCGGAAGGTTTGTTGTAACACCTCCAGCCAGGGTCTGATGCCCGTTCTACTTAGAAAGAGCTGTGGCCTGGTTTGAGTACTCGGCAGCTGCTGGCATAACACATACCACGGGTCCTCTACCTTAAGGCGTTGGAGGATCTCGGCTGAAGGTACATGCCAGAGGTGAGCTGGTGAGCGGGCTATCATTCTTAATTGTCTGTTTACTGCCTGACGGATAAGAAGTGGCCCTTGCGAAGGCAGACCTACACTGTGCAGAGAGTATCTGAGTACTGAGAATACGCATACCTTCCATAACCTGACCTTGGTGCCTAGGCTCAAGGATCTGGCCTTGAAAATGTGATGCAGGCGCCAGAAGCTGCCCCATGAGACATCCAGTCTGTGCCGCAGGTTTAGTAGCTCAAAGCCCTTGTAAGCCAGCTTGGCGCCTAGGTAACGGTGTGCGGTTACAATCTTGAAGGGGAGCCTACATTGACCTACCGGTATGACTAGGTGGGGCACATCCTCGATGTATTTTCGGTGTTTGGCAAGAACCGAAGGCGCGCTGGTACCCCCTAATGCTAGCAGGATGACAGTCTTCTCCATGCTGAGCTGGAGCCCCGCTTTTTGAAGGGTGGTAACCAGCACTCCTACGGCTCTTATGGCCCTTGCAAAGCCTAGAGAGTCCTGGACCGTCCAGCTGCCAAAAAAGTCATCAGCGAAGATGTTGATAAGGCCCTCCGGAAGAGACTGAGTTTTCAACTCTGCCTGAAACATTCGGTACACTTTCCCCGTAATCAAAGCCCATAGCAGTGGAGAGAGTGAGCATCCCTGACGGACTCCCGTTCCTAAGTAGACGTCGGCCGATTCAGTGGATCTGCCCACCTGCAGACAAGCACGTTCATGCAGATGCATCACTAAGTTGATTTCCAGTTGGTCAAACCCAGCTTCTATCATCGCATCTTGAAGGAAATTGTGGGGCAGACTATCAAAGGCCTTTTTGATGTCTAGGCTGATCGACAAACCTCCTACTAGCCTGTGCGGCTGGCCACCTAGAAACCTTTGAGGCAAGGAGGAGGATCCTCTTGCAACGAGGTCCCTAACCTGAAGGAAGTGTGAGCATACTGACTCGAGTGCATCTGCCGTTGAACGGCCCTTGAGATAAGCCCATTGCGGCACCTCCCTAAGATAGCCCTCAATTTTGGGCTCCACTTTATGCGCAAGCATGATTGCCAGGATCTTGTTTCCCGGATGCAGTAGAGCGATTGGCCGTAGGTTTTTGGGCTCTCGCACGATGGGGACTTTGGGAATAAGGTGCAGCTGAACTTTGTGCCAGTCCTCATGTAAAGCCGAGGCACTCAGATTCACGGCTGGCAGGAGTGCAGACACTACCTGATTTGCTGCCAATTTCCAGAGACGGGCAGGTGCGAATCCGGCTGGTAGAGCTTTGCTCGGACTGATCTTCGCAAGAGCTAATTTCAAATCTTCGGAAGAGAAGTGTACTCCATTTATGCCAGAGGCCGGCGGGAGTTGCATGATGTCTCGGCTGTGGTACACTCCTCTTAAGAAGGCTGCAATGTGCTCCGATTCTTCCTTTCCCGCTAAGAGCGAGCCCTGATCATTCCTGAGCTGTACTCTCATGGTTCTGGATTTAGGAGCTAACCGTCTCACCACAGAGAAGATGGTGGAGGGAAACTGCGAGGATTCCGCTTCCTGGAGCAACGTTTCTACTCTCTCTCGCTTGCGATCTCGACAGGCCTTACGAAGTTGTCTCTGCAATCTGGACAATTTAGCCGCTAGAAACCAACCCCTCAAAACCGAGTGAGAGCCTGGCGGCTGGGACTTCTGCCTGCGTAGT